GCAAGGTAAAGACCAAAAAAAAAAAAAAAGTAAGAAACATAATTCAAGATTAAAACATTTCAAACTTTTTTTTTTTTTTATTTTAATTGGCGTTAAAAATTTTAAATAATTTTATCACCTGAGACAAAAAAAACCTGGAACTTAACGTAAAACTGGAAACCATTTTTATCTTGGAGAAAAAAATACAACTTTTTTTTTTTTTTAAATTCAACAACTTGAACCCCCCAAAAAAAAAATTCCCACCTGGAATTTTTTCTTCGGGAGAGCCTTGAGGAAAAACGATGGGTCGTAATTATTTCCAAGACATTTTTAAAACGCTGGAAAAGACAAACGAGAAATTCGGGGGAAGGAGCCGACGGTGGCGGGAAGCGGGAGGAGGACGGGAGAGGAGACGCTCTAAAAAATATAACAACAAACAAATAAAATTTATTTTTCGGTTTTCTTCTCGCAATTTAATTAAATTCTTTTATACTTCTAAAAAAATTTAAAACGGGGAAATTTTTTCCTTAATAGACGTCATAATTATCGGTTTAAATTTTTAAGTTTTTAATTTGTAGCAGAAGACGACAGGAGTTAATACGCGTACGTTTAAACGGTAGGGGGGGGGGAGAAATAAAGAAAAAAAAATTTGTCCGAAAACCTGAAATTAAAAATTAAACGATTTAATAAAATAACTTTTTTTTTTTTTGTTTGTTTGATGTCGGCACGAAAACTTTTTTTTTTTTTCCGATGGTTTCAAAATAAATAATAAATTTATGTTTTAATACTAAAAGCCGCCATACTTGTTTTTTAAAATTATTTTATTAAAAACGTTTTGGCACGAATAAATATTTAAAAAAAAAAAATTATTAATAAATCATTAAAATTTTTTTTTTCCCGATAATACAAACGTTCGGTTGTTTTGTTTTGTTTTTTTTAAATAATAATATATACGTTTGAAAATACGTGTAACAAACGACAAACAACTACTACCGGTTAATGATTTTTTATTATTTAAATCTTCCGAATGTTTTCTCGATTATTTTATTCCCCGTTTGTCGTATTAAACCAAAAAAAAAATTCGAGTCGAGCCCACGTTTTGACAAAGAAAAAAAAACATGGCGGTTTGCCACGTACATGCATAAACCACGTCGTCAATAGGAAAAAAAAACAAAAGCGATTTTTTTGGGATATCGATAAAAAAAAAAAAAAAATTAAAAAACAATAAAAAAAAAAAAACAATTTTATATTCAAATGGTCTCCGGCTCCTCCCCACCGAAAAATCATCGAATACACCTGTTTAACGATAAATCTGTTTAAGCCCTAATTTATAAAAGATTTTCCGGGTGAAATATTTAAAAACTTTTAAATATTCATTACAACCATATACAAATATTTAAATTTATTATTATTATTATTATTATTGTTAATAATAAAAATAAACAAATAAAAATAAAAAAACACGAAACGCGACGAGGGTAAAAATTACTTTCATGTTTTGTTTTGTTTAATTTTTTTTAATAACTCAATCGGAAAACAAAACGAAAATTTTTCATAAAAAAACATAATTGAGAGGATGAAATAAGAAGGAACAAAACATAAAAAAAAAAACATAAAATAAAAACACGAAGAATGTTAAAAAAAAAAAAATAAGGCAGAAAGAAAGTAAGAAATA